TAAGGTGAGTGTCAATTTAATTTATGTCGACTTTAAGACCTCTTTTTACTGCCAGAGTGATGCAAAGGGGGCCTTGGTATAAATGAGAATCAGGCCCCAAATTGTTATTACTTTATGGCCTTCAAAAGCCTGTAGGTGGTTATTTGTCAGTCAGTCTAGCTGCTGTTAATAGTTTTGTTTGCTGACGTACAGTGTTATAAGGTAGAAATTAAAAAATAACATTTTGCAATCAATACTACAGTTACCACAGTAATTTCCTCTCAACTATTTGGAAAAACTGTTGCCATCTGGGTGGTACTTTATGATAAATTCTGACTTTTTAATGGTGACACTCTTGGTCAGTTAAAGGAGTAATTTTGAAATGGGAGTGGGGGGAGGAGAAGGTAATTTTTACCCTTTGGAATTAAAGCCCTGTTGCACAAGAACGCTTAAGCATATGTGTAACTAAGAACATGGGCAATCTCAATGAAGTAAATGGGACTTCTCTTGTGCTTAAGATAGGCATATGTAGAAGTTCTTTGCTAGATTAGAGCCCAAGTGTCTTGTGTATTGTCTTTGCTTCTTCGGAGCCAAGTCTTTGATAGACTGTAACACATTTTGTAAGCCAAAGAATCAAGGTGACCTGATCTTCCCTTCTGTAGCTTCAAATGTGGTTCCTGTTCATATAAGGCTTTATATAACTGCCTCTGAAGTCGGTGGGAGTCTTTGCATTGATTTCAGTAGGGACTGGATCCAACCTAAAAGGCTCAATCCTGCAAGCTCCTAGGTATCTCCTGGAGGTGCCAGTCCCCATTATGTTGAGCTCCTGTAATGTCCAGTGACTTGAATGGGAACTGGGGCACTCAGCACTTCCAGGAGATGCTCGGCACCTTGCAGGATTGAGCTCGTGAAGATCTAATTCTCTTTAAGGCTAGTTAAATTGTTGATTTTGATGGTTTCATGTGGCAGTGAATGTTTTAGGTTTGAACTCCTTATATGTGTTGCACTTTTTATGTTTTAGTAAGTCAGCCTTTCTTAAATTAAATAAAATAATCTTTTAATCAGAGATGAATCCAAACTGGAACAGCAAATCCAAACATCCCTGAACTTTGAGGGGAGTTTGGATTTAGACCCAAAGTCAGAGCTAATCTTCATGACTTTGGCTCATCTGTGTTTTTTGTTTTTTTGTTGTTGTTTTAAAAAAGAACATTACATGCTCTCTTCTTTCAAGGAGGAAAAAGTAGATCAGATCACCCATGACAAATCCTGGAAATAGAGACTGGCATGAGCATTAATATTTGCTTTATTATTGGAATGTTGGTCAACATACTTTGAAATATACGACTGCAAAAAGCAGCATAATCTCACCAAATCCATGTTAGGAATGCCTGGTATACCTGAAGTGAACATGGATATGACTTTAAAGAGTGGGTGCAATTATAAGTGAGGGATTCCAAAGCTAGGTAGAGAAGAGGGACTTCAAACCAGCCATCCAGAAATCTACAGGCAAATAGTGTATCTGAGAAGATGAAGCATGGCACTTTGCATGGTCATCAGGTGGGACTTCTGGGTCTTAAAGCATGAACCTCTGCTGCCTGAGTAAAAGACCTTAGTTAACCAAGGCTCTAGCAAGTTCATCAACCTCTACAGGTGTCCTAGTTATCGCTAAAGGTGGACAGAGTTCCACATGGAGTGGGTGTAGGTTAGCCAGCCTGTTAGAATGTTATGGGAGAGAATCTACCTGAGAGAGAAGAGGGTGATGTATAGAGCAAGTTGGAAAATGGGTTTTAATTTCCACAGAAAATGTAGAGCAAAAAATCAAAACCCAAAATATTTGGACCAAAAACGGAATTAGTTTGGTTCAGAAATGCCATTGTGGTGCGTGCTGGGAGTTGGGGTTCCTTGTGCTCACAATCTTATCTATGGGCCAGGCTTCCTGGTTGGACCACACTTCCCAGATGCACCATGGCTTCCCTCTTGGGTAGAGGAGGCCATGCGTCATGACAGTCACATAGCAATGTCTTAAACTATATGTTAGCTCCAAAAGTGTTGTCCATTTTTAAAGTGTACAGAGGACAGCTCACTTACTTACCAGATCAGCAATCGTGGGTCACTAGTGTCCTTAGATGTTGATAGATGTTTGGCTGTGTGTGTATGTTTCCCCTGTGTGCTGCCCCAGCCCTTCAGAGAGCTGGCATGGCAGACCTTGAGCGAACCACCCGATGACCACAAGATTCGTTAAAGGACGAAGGCACCCAGCCATGTTTATTGTTGACGAAGCATGGTACTTGTATCCCGCAGACTTTACCAGACCACTAATACATGTGTGCCCATAACAATGGACCAGCTTAGTGCACGGCGGGACTTTTTGTTTTTTTCTAGGCCAGACAAAGATACTTTTTTTAAGATATATTTTTAATATATCAAACAAATTAGTACTGCCCCTCTGATATAGTTACTGCCTCCTTACGTGGCTAATTATTACTCATTACCTTGTTGTACATGTTGGTTTGTTTAAAACATTTTTATTACATATTGTCATCCTGACCTTATCTGTTAGGAGGGGTCAGTGTGTTCCTGTTATCCTTGGGGAATGTGTTTGTACCATCCTTGGTATCAGGATGTTCTGGTACCACTTGATATCGGGATGTGTTTGCGTGAGTACTTTGTGACTTGCACTTTTTAGGAATGTGTATTTCTGCAATATCAGCCCTGTTCTTGCCAGATTCTCTGAGCAGGTCCTGCCTCATACCAGGGCAGCCCTTTGCTACAATGACTTATGTTTCAGGCTCTCTTCCTACTATACCCTTGACTTCCCTGGAAATTCTGTCTGTGGCGCAGTTGCAGAATAAGTGCCCATAATATGTATTTTTACTTGTACTAATAATTATTTGTCTAGCACATAGAATGCTAGTTGTTGTAGAGATCGATAAGAAGACAAAAGGCCAAAATTTCAAAGGTATTTAGGAGACTAAAGATGCAGATGTCTAGTAGGATTTTCAAAACCACCTAGCTGCCTAATGGTTGATTTCAATGGGAGTTAGGCATCTGGGTGCTTTTGAGTTTCCCATTTGCCACCTATTTGCATCACTAGGTGCCTAAAATCTTTAAAAATCTGCTCCAGAGCCCCTGCCCTGAAGAATTTTAATCTAAACAGTCAACAAGCAAAGGATGGAGGAAGTTACTGCAATTGAGTGGTGAAGTTTAAAATATGTCTTGTAGTCCACAATATTTGTATGTTTAATAAACTTCAGTGGGAATACAATCTTTAAAGGCATAATACCAGATCCTTCATATGGGTGTGTTAAATGCTTGTGTGTGAACAAATCGTATATTTTACTTTGTTTGTGGGTGTTGTTTTGTTTTGTTTTTTGTTTTCCAGTGGTATACTTTCCCCTATAAGAAACAGCAGGTACATTTCACCTACATCTATAACATTGCCTTTCTTTTAGAATGAGTTGGGCTGTGCTGGACAATGATATAAAGACAGCATCTGCCAGTGTTTGCATCCGGTCTTTGCTGACAATGAGTGGAGAGAGCCCTTTTTACCTTACTTCAAATCAAAGCTACAGAAGATAATTTTTTTTTAACTTACATTGTAGTAAATTAAAGTTCTCTGAAGCACATGACAGTGTTATATAAAAACCAGTACCTCTTAGATGTAGGCAAGAGTTAGGATGGTAAATGGGTAGCTATCTAGATTGCACTTTGAAATACAGATCTTGAAAACAAAATGTGTAATTAGATTTCTTTTCAAATGCCCTCACTGATACAAAGGCAAAAAATGGTCCTTGAAGACTGCTGCTTCCATCTAGTTTATTGAATTAAATAGTTTTCACTGTTGTATGAAAATTACTTTTTTAATATATTACAGACCTTCTGAAGTATTAGAAATTCTATATTCCTGTTGACAGTTTAAATTAAAAATCATTATCTTGTCCTTGTGTTATGAAGCTTGCTACAATCTAGATAAACTGTAAAGAAGGTTCTATTAACTTTACTGGATGTTAATCAGATAAGAATTAAGATTTATGACAGCACTTGGAAGTCTTCATTAGGTAAACATGATTCTCCTTTAGTTGCCTTGGGTAGCACCCAAAGCACTTGGCTTATGTACAGCAGAAAAGGCAGCCTAGTAGATCAGCTTATGAGGAGACAGCTGCTTTTGTTAAATGGCTTTTTATATATATATATATATATATATATATATATATAAGCTTTGGTTAAGTAAACATTGTGAGACACAGAATAGTTAGCTCATGTATCTATTTGGCAGCTTACTGTTCATTCCAGATGCTTCTGGAAATGATTTTGGGGCTTTTTTTTTTTTATTTTTAAAACCAGGTACAGTATTTGGCCTAGAACTTCAGTTAGTATGAATTGGCATAGCAACAATAATTTACACCAGCTGAGGATTTGACTTTAAGATTAGTGTGTGAAAGTGTGTATTATGAGTGTGTCTGTTGTAATTCTATAGTTTAAGCTTCTGATCAGAGTAGAAAGCCTATTCAATAAGAAGGTTGGGGTCCTGTGGAAAAAAGTGCTATGTAACCATGTAAGTGAAGGCTGTATTATAATGCATACAGACACACACAAGGGGCATAGCTTGGGTTGCACAGGCTATTTTCCTTCTAGCACTTCCTAATTTTTGAGTGCTTCACTTTCCAGCCCTAAAGTTCTTGGTGTGCTGAGGATGATGGTAGAGGAGGGCAGAGGTACATCACCTTTATACACCCTTATCTTAAGCCTATCCCTTAGCAGAGGTTATAGATCATTCTCAGAGGATATTCCAGCATCCAAGCCTCACCCAAGTGATAGGACCCTCCATCCACACACCCTGCACCAGGAGAGAACGCTGAGAAGGGCTATGCCAACTGGTGCCACTTGGAGAATTGACTCTGTCACCTGAATCCTTCAGTAGCTATTTAAGCTGGCTTTGTGCCAGTAGGATCCAGGACCTGACTCTAGAGTTTTATTTTCTGTCATGGTGATTCATTGCTTGTATTTACTCTTTGCAATAGGAAGGTGAAAACATTTTCTATCTCGCTGTTGAAGATATTGAAACGGATACAGAGCTGCTGATTGGCTACCTTGATAGTGATATGGAAGAAGCGGAGGAGGAGGAGGAGGAAGTGATCCTTAACCAAGAAGATGAAGACAATAATAATAATAATAATAATAATAGTAACAACAGCAATAAAGAACTACAACAAGCTGGTGAGAAAGGTACAGATGAGACATGCGTGAGAACTAAAGTAGCTTTTGTGTGTTAAAAACTATATCAAAACAAGAAAACTAAAACTTCTGACTGGTGAGAAACTGAAGATGTTTGTACACATATTTTACTCATTTGTGTGGCAAAATTGAGGGCCCTGTCCTCTGCTCCCTTGCGCATGTGGAGTCATTTTACCTCCATTGAAAGAGAGTGCGAAATGGTTGTAAAGCTACTAGAGCAGAATGATATGTTGCTGCAAATGCCAAAAGTGTGTGGAGCATTGATGAATTGGTGCTCGACCTTTATATTACTTTTTACTCCTGTTAGTAAAGGCAACACAGCAGAGGGACACTGAGCTGGATTCTGTTCTTTATTGTGGAGCATCAGCAAATTTCAGTAATCTGCACAACCACACTGAAGGGAATGAGGTTGCATAGGCATAACTGAAGGCCGAACTTGGCCTGCAGACCACTGATTGATATGATGCACCAAAAGGAAGGAATCCAGTTTGTTTGCAGTGTTGGCATTTAGCAAAAGTAACCCTACTTGTCCTGGGATTTGGTATGGATAATCCTTTGAGAAACAATGGACCCACTGAGCTTGGTGAATCCCATGAGGCCATTTTACATAGTCCCTTTTCAGAGTAGGACCTCACTTTTAAAGTAATCAGAAATATAATTGCCTAGAAACTATACCTCTACTAATGTGTTTTTTTTGCTCCCCCCCCCAAACTGTGTAGATTCTCTCAGCTGCAAAGAGGACCACACATGTCCAAATTGTGAATCCAGTTTTGCCAGCCAGGAGATCCTAGCTGAACACCTTCAGACGCTGCACCAAAAACCTAGTGAGGAAAAGGAATTTAAGTGCAGGAACTGTGGAAAGAAATTCCCAGTTAAACAAGCCTTACAAAGACAGTGCGTACACACAAGAGTGCTTTCTATAAATAACCCTTTAAACCAATCAGTAAGCTTAGTCACATCATTAACTACAGTTTCTGTTGCCTGCAGCTTTCATGCCTCTTTTCCAATGGTGTTGTGATTTAAGAGGCTAGGGCTGCACTAAATTTCATTGCCTTTAGTAATTTAATTAGCCTTTCATACTTTGCCCAGTACATTAATTTTTGAATATGTTGACTTGCTGTACTTCGTACAGACCTTTAGTTTGAATCACTAGTGCCATTAATGTTTAAATAATTGGTGCCTTTAGGAAGGCTGGTCTGGGGGGAAAAGGCTGTGTAATTCATGTATTGTATTGCATAGCAGAGCTGTTGTGCAGTGCTGGAACTTTGGTCTACATCAGTGGACTATTTTATCAAGGAGCCTCATGGAAACAGATGGCATCTCAGCTATCTCCAACGGGTGCCATTGTGGAATTAGAATAAAACTTTGAAGTAGGGAGATGAAGATGTAAAAGGACAAAGAAAGAGGAATAAAAACCACTTCATGTTGATTTAATTGAACCTTTGTGGGCAGAACAAAATATAAATTGAAACATGAAAAAGAGGCAAGATTTAAAAGCAAATCGCTTTCAGTTCTGTCCATTATTGTGTATATTTAGCCTTTAAAGTCATGTACAACATACTTTACATGAAAACTTTCCTAATCTAATTGATTATTATCCTGTGTTTTTCTTCTAATACACAATGCTTGTAAGTAAATCAAATTGTGGATGAAATGGATGCACCATTTTTTTTTACTGTAGATTTAGTTATAGAGGGTACCCCATTTAATCTAACTGTTTCATATTGAAAAAGAGTAAAATAATATTACATAGCCGCATTAAACTGTTTCTGTAATGAAGCAATCTGTTGTTTTCTTGTAGATAACATCATATTAATCTCTTAAATGATTATCTCTTACTTATAAGCAAATGCTCTGTGTGCTTTTCTGAATAATGTGATTTTCTGGAGTAGTATTTTGTAGAGGGAACAAAATGTTTTCAAGCAAAAATAAACTTTCGTCCTTATAATCTATAATTTGGCATTTGATTTGTGCTAGGTGACTAGTTAAATTTATTAAAAACTAGGTGAAAGCCTTTGCTGTCGTCTTGGTGTAATTTGCAAAGGGTAAAAAAAAGCCGAAAATGGCTGAGAACTTAAAAATGGGTTGGTAACAGACTGTGAATCCCAGTGATGATTGAACCTGATTGAACATTTTTTCTATATGAAACAAGCTCTCAACCATGCTTGTAGCTCTTCCCATTGCTTCCCATTGATTCAGTTGACAATTGTGGAATCAGATTTTTATTTATTTATTTATATATCTACATAAACAGCACTTGGGGAGAAAAAGACAAGTGCATTGGTAATTGAGAATAGCTTTCCATTTTATACTGTGGCCCCAAACTTTAGCCATGTCAGTCCCAGGATATTAGAGAGGCAAGATGGATGGGTAATATCTTTTATTGGACCAACTTCTGTTGATGAGAAAGACAAGCTTTCAAGTTTACACAGAACTCTTCTTAAGGTCTGGGAAAGGTAATCAGAATGTCATAGCTAAATATGAAGTAGAACCTCCAAAGATTAGCCTCAAAACTTAAAATCATAACTTTGCTAATCACTAAAAGTCATGGACTGAATAGAGGCACTAGATTTATGGCTCATTACAACAGTTAACCTAATAACAGCCCCTATACTCCCACACTCCCAAGCTGCTTTCACAACACCTTTCTTTCCCTCCTTTGATTGGAGGGGTGTAAATGGGCCACTTCACCTTGAACGGTCCCTTGAAATATGAATTAACTACTTATGCTAAACAATCTGCTCACCTTGTATTTAGCTGTGACACTGAGTATGTTTCTCAGATCTGAGTAAGAGCTCCATGTAAGCTTGAAAGCTTGTCTCTCTCACTAACAGAAGTTGGTGCAGTAAAAGATATTACCTCATCCACCTTGTCTCTCATATTTATGCATGTGAGTAGTCCCACTGAACTCAAAGTTTGTAAAGTTACTCGTATGTAAGATTGGGCCTGTCTTCTCTAACTGTTACAGTCAAAACGTTGTTTAGAGAATATTTGCCTTATATTTTGTTTTATCTTTTCCCCTAGCGTCCTTCAGTGCACAGAGAATGTCAATCCAGGAGACACTTGGAGAAGTTTTCAGTGTTCTGTTTGCAATACGTCCTTCAGCTCAGAGTCGAGGTTTTGTGTCTGAGTTACTGGACTGCTGTCATATCATTGCTGGCCTCCCTTTGCATGTTTGCTTTCAAGCTTATTAGTTTATGTGAATCCTAACAGGGAAAGAAGTGAAATACTTTCATTCCTACCAGCTGTAAGTAATGCATGAGGTGGCCCTGGAACTCTGCTGTGTGGCATGTGTTAAGCTCAGAGTGCTTGCTATGAGTCTGTGTTCTCTAGCTATGTCTTCATATATTATTTTTCCTTTGCTGGTTATCCAATATAGTTATGAGCAGCACAAAGAGGCATGCAGAGGGGATGCTAGATTCATATGCAAGGCTGATAGCTGCGGGAAGAGGTTCAAGAGTAAGGATGCTCTGAAAAAGCACAAGGAAAATGTTCACACTGGTAAGAAATGATCGAATATGACATTATTAACAGCATTGCTGATCTGTTGCCTAACAGACAACTTTTTATTCACAAACCAAAGCAAGAACCATCTTTCATTCCACTTCAAATGGTATTCTTGATACATTTTCATTTAGTTGCATGTCCTATTTCTGTAATGTTTTGATTTGAGTAAAATTAATATAACCTTCCCACTTCTTCCAAAGGCTGTGGATATAACTAAGTATATCAGGAATAAAAGAAATCCTAACAATGGTAAATGGCCATTACTAGAAGGAGATGGCAAAACTGTTAAAAATGATGGACAAAAGGCAGAATTGTTCAATAATATGTCAGTTCTGTATTTGGAAAGAAGGAAGATGATGTACTCATCTCTCATGTGGATGATGAACTACTCTTGTATCCATTAGTAACTCAGGAATATGTTAGCATTTACTAGGCTAGACATTTTAAAATTAGGAGGCCCATATGACTTGTACCCAAGAGTCCTAAAAGAGGTGGCTGAGATGTCTGGCTTCCTGATGTTAATTTTTAATAAATCTTGGCATACCCGGGAAATTCCAGAAGATTGGAAGAGTGCTAATGTATGCTAATATTGAGAAAAGCCAGGCCAGGTGACCTGGGTAATTTAAGTATAAATCAGTTAGCCCAGCATGAATCCTGAGCAAAATAATGGAAAACTGCTACAGGATTCAGTTAATAAAGAGCTAAAGGATGAGACTATAATTAACAACAGTCAATATGTTTGGATGGAAAATGGGTCTTATCAAACAAACCTCATTTCATTTTTTGATATTTCAGATTTGGTTGATAAAGTTAACTGCATAGATGTAATATACTTAGATTTTTGTAAGGCATTTGACTTAATACCTTATGGCATTCTAATTTCAAAAATAGCACTATACAATATCAGTAAAGCACATCTTAAATGGATCAAAAACTGCCTGACAGATCTAAAAAAGTAGTTGTCAATGAAGAATCATCTTTGAATGGGGTTGTTTTTTTCTGGGGTTCTCCAGGGATTGGTAGTAGGTCCAACACTATTGAATATGTTCATCAATGATCCGGAAGTACATAGAAATCATTGATGATATATCTTGCAGATGACCTAAAGATTGGCAGAGTGGTAAATAATGATGGGAATAGAGCAGTCATTCAGAGCAATCTGGATCACTTGGTAAGCTGGGCCCATTCAAACAAAATTTGTTGTAATACAGCAAAATGTAAAACCAAAGGAACAAAGCATTTATGCCATGCCTATAGAATGTGGGACTATATCCTGGAAAGCAGAGACTCTCAAAAAGATTAGGGGTCATAATGGACAAGCACTTAACGTGACCTCCCAGTGTGATGCTGTAGCAAAGAGGGCTAATGCGATCCTTGGATGTTGGAGAACCAGGGAGATAGCTGTATTATTTTGTATGCATTTTATATGTACTCAGTTTACCTGCTTGATATTATTCTGGCTGACTGCAGGGAGTTAAATCAAAAGAGGCTATTAGAGAGGAGCAAATAGGAAATGAAACAATGACAGAGATGAGATATGTACAGGGAGAATATGCAGGGTCCTTAAGAGGAACAATCGGTGAGTTAGCCTACTTGCTTGTTGCCAGAAGGGCCAGAGATTGAGATCAAAAGAACACTAAGCAGTTAAAATTCTCTGCATAAAGGAAAAAGGAAGTAGGCTGGCAGCAGCCGCTCAGGGAGAACAGAACCTTCCATTTTCTATGGGCATTGCATGTTTAGGGCCAGCCTTATGCAGTCATGCAGGGGTATCAGACTTCACCAAACTTTCCTGTGGCCTCTGTGCATTACCACTTCAAGCATGGTGGGGAGCAGTCACCATGGGGCTGCTACTTTTCTGCCTGCTTAGGTGGGTGGGGAGTGGGCAGAGCCTTGATTCTGCCCCTCCACCATACTGGAAAACACAAGTGATAAAAATGCCTGAGGGAAAGTAATCTACTGGTGAGGAGCAGTAGCAGATTATGTCACTGTCCCACACCTCTCAAGGAGGAAGGTAAGAGCAGGAAAGGAGTTCCTTGGGCTTCTCCTTCTCCATGCACAATGAGCTCTGTGTTCATGTGCCCCCTATACATGGATACATGTGCCCCCTATACAGGACGGTGCTTAGGCACAGTATAGCTCTCAGAGAGAAGTTTGTAACTCTCACTCTCCACTTATTCCCCAAAAAATCTCACTAGTGCTCTGATATAAGCAACTAGGTATATTTCTTGATAATGGTTACATGAAAATGTCTTGAAGGAGTCATTCCTAGGAGCTCCCAAAGAGTGAAATAAAGATGATTTCACTTTCATTTTCACTAGCCATTGTGGCAGAGCCCCAGATCTTCAGAGGTATTTAGGTGTCGGTCTACCTTTGAGGATCTAGGCTACAATGACTTCTTTAAAAAAATTGGGTAAACTGAGTATTCGAGGCTCTTGAAATCTTATGCATTAATATTTACAGCATGCTATTAACTTGTTCATTCCTGCATATAGTGAGTGCATTGTGCAAAATGTTTACTAACTATATTAGTGTTAACTTTGAAATAAAACTGTGGAGTAAGAAAGATGATCTGGAAAGTGATAGAACACTATAGACTTCCCTTCTTAACTACAGGTTTTTGGTACATGGCTGTGATATATACAGACTTTATTTTCTAGCTTAATGTCTTTTTAGTTTTATCCTAATCAATCTTCTGCAGACTGAAACACCGAGGATTAAGACATGTTTTGTTAAATGTAGTCCCCACAGGCTATGGAATGTTCCAGTTTCTAGCTACCTGCGGCTGTGGCTCATTTGAGATTAGAAGTCTTTTCAGCATTTTTAAGAGAATACAATTGTATATTTTAATACAGTGCTTAAACAATATCTATATTGTAGTAAGATAAATAATGTATTTAAATTAATTTCAATTTTCATGTTTGAGTAAATAGTCTTTTTTTCCTATTTATAAATCAGTATTTTATATTATCAGTTGAAGCTGAAATACCGTATGGATGGTGTTTGATTGAAAGTAGACCAAGTGCACCTCTGCCTTTCTTCCATCAAAAAGCAAAGGGGGTAGAAGAATAGATTATGATTTAACAATCATCTTGGAATAAGGTGCCTTGGGACACTAGATACTCATGTTGGTGGGGATTATTGTGGAGGGACAGTCTGAGTGTCCAGGATGATGATATTCTTTTGTCCCATTTTCCTGTGGTGTTTGGGCATCCCAGAAGCCACCCACATTCCTTCTCATTAACTTTACTGTGTGTGTCTCACACAGCAACATCTCCAGCAGCCAGCTGTCAACTGTTTGACTTACCAGTCACTTCAACTGATTACCAGGGAAATTAGGTGTTCTAGTTGTGGACCAGGACACATTGTACTAGTTGCTGTTCAAATACAGAACAAGCTCCCTAAGCAGCTTGAAATACAAGTATAAGACAAGAAACAACAGATGGATACAGAAACAACGAGACAATATTGGTCATCATGATAGGCTCCGGTCTCCGCACACCAGCAGCCTAACTGTTGTCAAGTGTTTTGTCATCGTGTGTGATCCCTCATCAAGGATGATCTCTTCCACAATTTTTATTTTTATGGGTCCTTTGGTGATTAAGGAGTCCAATCCCTGAGCCACAAACTCATTGGCAGACGTTGCAGGTGATGTTGGAAGGCAGGGATGGGCCAAGATTGCTGCATAACAATCATCTGTCCTTTTCTGGCATTTTTCTGCGACCACGGCAAGGAGATTTTCCTCAAAAGTGATTGTTCCTTCTCTGACAAGTGTTCGCCAGAGAGCCTGTCCTAGGCTACTGTCTCCCAGTGCGTGGTATTGATGCCACATCTCTTGATGTTTGTTTGAGAGTGTCTTTGAAGCATTTCTTTTGGCCTCCCAGTTTCCTTTCTCCTTTGGTGAGTTGGGCGTACAGCAGTTGTTTTGGTAGGCATGCATCAGGCATGCGCACACACAGTGTCAACTCCACTTCACTGGTGCTGCATAATCAAGGCCTCAGTACTGAAGGTGTTGGCCTCTGTAAGGACACTGATGTTAGTGAGGTCACTCTCCCACTTTATGTTGAAGATTTTTTCCGGAGAAAGTGCTTGTGTTCCAGGTTTTTCAGATGTTTTCTGTAAGTCACCCAAGTCTTTCACCCACAGGGTTGAGATTACCACTGGTTTATAAACTAAAACCAGTTGGAGAACACTTCAATCTCCCTGGCCACTCGATTACAGACCTAAAAGTCACAATATTACAACAAAAAAACTTCAAAAACAGACTCCAACGAGAGACTGCTGAATTGGAATTAATTTGCATATTGGACACCATTAAATTAGGCTTGAATAAAGACTGGGAGTGAATGGGCCATTACACAAAGTAAAACTATTTCCCCATGCTTATTCCCTCCTCCCCCGCTACAGTTCCTCACATCTCCTTGTCAATTGCTGGAAATGGGCCATTTTCATTACCACTACAAACAGTTCTTTTTCTCTCCAGCTGATAATAGTTCACCTTAACTGATCACTCTCCTTATAGTGTGTATGGTAACATGCATTGTTTCATGTTCTGTGTGTATGTGTGTATATATATACACACACACACTTCCTACTGTATTTTCCACTACATGCATCCGATGAAGTGGGCTGTAGCCCACGAAAGCTTATGCTCAAATAAATTTGTTAGTCTCTAAGGTGCCACAAGTACTCCTGTTCTTTTTGCGGATACAGACTAACACAGCTGCTACTCTAAAAGTCTAGTGTGTGTTCTGATGTCATGGTTGTTGAACACAACAGTCGAGACAGTCTGCCAAAGGCAAGGCTGGCAAAGCGGATTCTGAGCTGAATCTCAATGTCTATGTATGCCGTCTGTGAGAGGTGGTTGCCAAGATAGGCAAAATGTTCTACATTTTCCAGTTCTTCTCTATCAATGTAGAACTTCCTTGCTAGGTCTGATGATTGACTGGGAGCTGGCTGGTGGAGAGCTCTTGTTTTGACAATGTTTACTGTTAGCCCTAGCCTTTTGTAAGCTTCAGAGAAACAGTTATGGGCTGTTTGTAGATCCTCCTTTGAGTGTGCAACTACAGCACAATCATCAGCTACTGGAGTTCAGTTATTGTTTCTGATGTTGCTTTAGTTCTGGCACAGAGGCGAGAGTGGTTGAAAAGGTTGCCATCAGTCCAATATTGGATGCCAGTGCCCTGTAGTGGACAGTCTTGGATTAGCGTTTTCATAGCTGCTAGGATAATGGAGAAGAAGATGGGTGCCAGTACACAATCTTGTTTTACACCAGTTCAGATGCAAAGAGCTCAACAGTAGAGCCACTTCACAGGATGGAGGCAGTCATCTGGTCATGGATGAGTCTTACAATGGTGGTAAATGTGCTTGGGAAGCCAAACTTTGACATGATTTTCCACAGAGCCTCACAATTTACAGAGTTGAAGGCTTTGGTCAGATCGATAAAGGCCATATACAATTCCTGGTGATGTTCTTGATGTTTTTCCTGGATCTGCCTGGCTGCGAAAATCATGTCAGTGGTGCCTCGTGATGGTCTGAAGCCGCACTGGGACTCTGGAAGTACTTGCTCTGCAAGAGGGAGCAGGCGAATCAGTAAGATTCTATTAAGAATCTTGCCAGCGATGGGGGGAGAGAGGCAATGCCTCGATAGTTGCCACAGTCGGCCTTGTCTCCCTTTTTGAAAATGATGACGATGTTAGCATTACATAAGTTGGCAGGGATTTCTTCGGTGTGCCAGATTTTGAGGATCAGCAAATGAAGCTTGTTAGTCAGTGTTTCTCCCCCCACATTCAGTACTTCAGCTGGTATACCATCAGGACCTGGAGCTTTGTTCTTCATTTGCTTAACTGCTTTGCAGACCTCCTCAGGTGTTGGTGGTTTGGCAAGAGTTTCCCAATTTGGGTATGGAGGGATGGAGTCAATGGTGTTGTCAATCACAGTTGAATCTTGATTTGGAAGCTTTTGGAAATATTCCTTCCAGTGCTCTTTGATGCATTCATTGCCTTTAAGAAGCGTGCTACCCTCTTCAGATCTCAGCAGTGTGAGGCCACATGCGCTTCATCCGTACAAGGTCTTTGTCTCAGAAAAAAATCTGCATATCATATCTGTCAGTAAATGCTTGGATTTATTTTGCTTTGTCCTCCCACCATTTGTTTTTGATTTCTCAGATCCTCTTTTGAACCTCCGCTTTAAGCTGATGGAAAGAGCTCTGCTTCTGACTGGATAATGGATGGTTCTGCCAGTTGCATAAAGTTTCCTGTTCTGGTCCAGGAGGGCTGTCATCTCAGTGTTCTTGTCATCTAACCAGTCCTGATGGCAGCGGGTAGCAAGGCTGATGGATTCCTCATAGACGGTCTATTTTAGGACTTCCCAGTCTTCTTTGACGCTTGTGTTGTCATTTCCAGGTCTGCGTGTGGTCAGTTTTTCACTGAGGTGTGCTTTGAAGTTCTCTTGGTGACTTGAGGATTGAAGTTTTTGAATGTTGTATTGCTGTCTGTGTGATTTGAATTGCTTTCTGTGTTCTGGTGCTATCCTGATGGACATGACTGACCTCACCACGCAGTGGTCAGTCCAGCAATGGTCTGCTCCTGGGTAATTTGGATGTCTTTTAGATCCTGCATTCTTACAATTACTTAGTTTAGGAGGTGCCACTGTTTTGAGCGGGGGTGTTGCAAAGATGTTTTTTACTTGTTGCTTTGTCTGAAGATTGTGTTTGTGATCTCAAGGCCATGCTCTGTGCATTTGCTGAGTAGAAGGATGCCATTGGAATTGGTCTTACCCACTCCTTCCTTCCCATTGGTGCTGTTCCATACGTTAGAGTCTCGACCCACTCTTGTGTTAAAAGTCCCCTAAGGAGATTATCTTGTCTGTTTTTGGAATGGACAACAGACTTTTGTCAAGGTCAAGGGTTTTATAGGCCTCGTAAGAAAGAAGAATTTTAAAGATGGAAGTCCTCTCTGTTCCTGATTGGAGCTTAGAAGCTAGCAGACTGCAGCAGGAATGAAAGCAGTTCCTGTCAGGAAAAAGATCTTAACTTTTGTCCAGGCCCTGGCAGGGGTGGAGAAGAGAGGGACAAGAGGCTTGTGCAAAGAGGAAGAGTATGAGAAGATATTGGAGATGGGAAAAGGCATAAGACAGACCTAGAAATGAGGTAAGAAGAGAGAAAATGAAAGAACAGAAGGATGACAAACACACACAAATCACTAGAAGAATAAGAAATAAGGGAGGACTTGAAGCCAGGAGAAGTGGGAAGAAAAGTAGTAAAATATACAAAAAGAGCAAGGCAACGAGGGAAACAGAGTAAAGGTATACACAAAGGATGGGGCATGGGAGGAAGCTGTATACAGTAGAGGTGGGAGAGACAAGGATGGGACAAAATGGCAATAAGGAAAAATGGTTTGTAAACATGTATGCTCTACAAATGGCATTGTTCCCTGCAGCCCTGGCAGGCACTGAGAAAAAGGCTTGTTCTGCTACCAAGGTGTCATACCTCAGAATCCCTATTTCTTTTCAGCAGCAGCCTGCTGGCCTTCATCAAGTATACAGACTCAAGGAATTTGACTCCACTTGGCTATAATCTAAACATATTAGCGCACCAGCATTTTGACAGAGGCTTCCGTCTATAGTCTTGCTACATATGCACTGGAAGTCACTAAAAAGTTTATCATGTTAACTTACCAAGAGACCATGGCACAGCTCTTAGAAGAGAATAGTCTGCCCCAAGGTCCAATGATAAATTGATGGTTGGATATTTAGCTTTTAGTGCCCTCCTCTGTAAGTGAGAATTTGGCTCACAGAATGCCATTTGTCTCTGAAATCAGTGTCAGTGAAACAAGCCCTTTTTATTTCATCCACCAATTCCTTGTGTTCAATGACTGATAAAGACCTGAATGCAGTAGAGGTTAGATGCCATCGCTAAGCATTGGCAAGGCAAGAGTGAGATTTTGACACAATTATCCGGACCTTTGTTGCCTCAGGATTAGGTTGACTCAGACCAGTGCTCATGATCTATGCTAGCTTCAAGTAAGATTGTTGGAGGAATTCAAGATGTCGATTTTAACTTATAAAGGCCTAAATGGTGTGACACCTGGTTTCCTGAGAGATTGGCCCTCCCTGTGATATACTGCCACAGTAGAGAACAGCAGTGGTGCTGAAACTGGAGGTCGCTCAGTAGAGGGAGCAGCAGGCAGAGCATTCTCTCTGAGGCGTCCTCTGGTTTTTTGGATAAGAGTCCAGATTTGTTAACCTTCTGAGCACACTGTAAAGCCCATCTTTGTTCCCTCATTGTTAAGGCTGCTGTGGATTGCGGTGGGGTATATTTATGGGCAGTTCTTTGTCTGTGCTTATGTTGTAATTTTTAATTTATGGGCTAGGTGCCCACACCACTCATGTATTTTAAATATTTGAATGAATAAGCAGATGGGGGAGGGGTGTCTTTATTATTCTTGTTAAACTGATTTGTTTAACAGTTTTCAGGGAGGATAAAGATCAGATCCAATTCAAAAGCTGATTTAATTATTTGTAAAATATTCTGAAGAAAGAAATTGGAAAAGCAAATAATCAAAAGAAATGTACAGTCTTCAGGAGGACAAGTGCGGAGAAGATCAGACACTTGAAGCCTGGAAAAATCTTTAGCTGGAAACCTTCTGATGTGTTAATTTCTGATCTCTGCTTCATTGCTCTTCCAAGAAACACCATTTTGCCTCCTGTTTAGCATTGTGCCCTCTCTTTTTAGTGTAATGTAGTGTAATTCTTGGAGATATGTCAGGAGACATTTCACGTGGAACTTTGGTTATAAACAAAGAACTACGTTTGTAGTAATTGTGCCCTGTATTAAAACAGCTTTGTGTGGTACTAACATGAACTTGAAATCACAGTAATTAATAGACAAACCTAATTAAATGCTCTGTCACTTTTTAAACGAACTGTGAAAAAGGAAGGGAAATACATCTGGTAGCTGACCTTTAACTGGGTTTATAGTTTTGCATGATAGATTAGATTTGTATTCCTGATGCAGTTCTATTACAAATGCCCTAAGTTAAGAAAATGTTAATAGAATTCTGTTTCTTACTGCACACCTAGCCAGGGTAGAATACTTACAACTTTTAGGTCAGGCTGTCATTACAGAAAATGGAAGCTTTGGTGTTGACTTCAGTATGGATCTTATTTCTCGTTGTTTCACTGATTCCAAACATTCATTCGTTAACTTGTAACATGAAGTTTTTGTGGATGATAATTGTTTTGGCTTCTGAATAACAGTGTTTTTTAGTTGTGACATGAAGATTGGTATTAGATGATACTTCAATTTTATTGCATTCTTTTCTTTTGAAAAAAAGAAAAAAAAAAGAAACCTTTCTTGATTTACGTGCTATTCAAAAAATAGCTTATAGGACACCTACAGAGAACTCTTGTAACCCAATACCATGAAGATGGGTTACAAATGTAAAATTTTCTGTCAGTCAAATGACCTGTGAAAAATCACACACCCAGTGGAAACATTTGGTTTCTTTCTTTGCACTTCCTTTTTAAGATGTTTCTTGTTAAGATTTATTTTGTTTCTGTTCTAGGAAATTCTAGGAAGAAGTTGATGTGCTCTGTGTGCAATAAGAAGTGTTCCTCGGCTACAAATCTTCAAGAGCATCGAAAGGTCAGTAAGATGAAAGCTGACCCACAGCAGGCTTTGACTTCACCAAGATGTAAGGCCAGGGAGCATGAGTCACTTGAGAGCTGCTGTAATACAAACTATTGGGTAGTCTTTTTCGTGGTTACAAAAGCAGTGCCTTTTCTTTGATTATGAGTATTTATTTTTGTATCTACAGTAGATGAAACCAAAACTCCTGGTTTCATTCTAATGTATCTTTTTTACCAAATATAAAATTTCATGTGTGGCATGTTCACATTACCAAGCTAAAACAAAATTGTCTGCCCCCCCTCTTTTTTTTGTCTGCAGTTCACAAGGAGGGAAGTGAATCCAAGTGTATTTTAGCCATTAAAGTAAATCTGTGAATCTCTTTTCCTATGCATAAAATGCAAACCAGTTTTGTCTTACTACCCTTTGTGAAAATAACATCACAGTCCTAAGGGTGTTGTATGCAATCTTTTTGAGTTATTTGGTTAGTATAAAAAGTGCCACTCCCTCCCCCCCCCAAATTTTTGTGCATAAATTGAAATAGTGTAATCTTTAATAACCTGCACAGAAAGAGTTAATTTCCTGAAAATAATGGAGTTAGTATAGAAATACAGGGTTATGAATATGAGATTCAGAATCCATTCTATGCAAAGGAAGACCCAGCAAGATTAATTTGATAAATCACCAAAACCCTACATTTTAATGTTTATCAGATTAACTGTAAGTCTTTAATAATGTCCTAGTTATAATCTAAATCCAGTGAGGAAGTAGATGGTATCAATTAAAATAAGATGTTGCAAGGGGAGTGGTAATCCCTTGTACTATCTTTTTGTGATTTGTTTGCTATCATTAATGTTCTCCTGTACTTTTTCTTGAAAAAGCCTTACAAATTCTACCATGCCTTCTCAAACCTAATCAAAATGCATCCTATTTTGTTTTAGCATGGTACCCACAAACCATTGCACACTAAGGTAGCCATGTGACCCTGCAAACCAGGAATGTCCCACTTTTGTAGGCATGTCATTGTTAGGCTAGTAGATAAGATCATTACTTTGTCCGAGTTGTTATAAATCCCTGCAGATCCTGCCAGCCAAAGAATCCATTGACAAGCTTTGCCTGTGACACTAATGGCAGATTGACTGAATGCCTATTCAGCCCTAGATCAAGCTTGTCACACATGGAAAATTACAATAGGTTAATAGGAGCAATAAGATGGAAAACAGTAGGGGAATTTGCCCAACATCTTAGATGTATGTGCACAAATGCAAGGAGTATAGGGAAGAAAGAGGAGGAACTGGCAGTATTAGTCCATAAAATAAATTATGACTTAATTGGCATCACTGAGAGTGGATGGCATAAATCTCATGACTGGAGTATTGGTAAAGAGGTGCATACTTGTTCAGGAAGGAGAGGTGGAACAAAAAGGGAGGAGGTGTTACATAATACATCAAGAATATATACACTGGTAGGAGGGGAGAGGCAGACCCATTGAAAGTCTGTGGGTGAGGATAAAAAGGGGAAAAAGCAGGGCCATGTCATGGCAGGGGTCCCTTATAGACTACCAAATCAGCAGGAGGAGGTAGATGAATTATTTCTAGAACAAATAACAGAAATATCCAAAATGCAAGACCTGGTAGTTATGGGAGACTTTTCCAATAGATGTCTGGGTAGTTAAATTAATACTCCAAAACACCAAATGTCTAATAAGTTCTTGGAATGTATTGGGGACAATTTCTTGTTTCAGAAGGTGGAGGAAGTAATCAGGAAGGCAGCCATTTTAGACTTGATTCTGAATAAGAGGGAGGAATTGGTTGTGAGTGTAGAAGGCAATTTAGATGAAAGTGATCATGACATGATAGATTTCATGACTTGAAGTAAAGGAAGGAATGAGAGCAGCAGAATAAGCACAATAGACTTAAAAAAACAGACTTTAACAAACTCAGAGAATTGCTAGATAAGGTCTTATGGGAAGAAAATCTAAGGAAAAAAGGAGTTCAGGAGAGAGCTGGCAGTTTCTCAAAGGGACAATATTAAAGGCACAACAGCGAACTATCCCAATGCGAAGGAATAGTGCAAATATGTAGGGATAAAATGAGAGGCTAAAGTACAAGGGAACTCACAAGGGACTCAAAAGGCAATAAGATGAGGTTGTATAATTACATTAGGAACAAGAGAAAGATGAAGGAAAGTATAGGTTCATTAATTAGTAGGGAAGGAGAGTTAATAACAGATGACATCACGAAGGCTGAGATGTTTAATGCCTATTTTGCTTCAGTCTTCTCTTAAAAAAATTAATGGTGATCAAATACTGAACACAATTAATATTAATAGCAAGGGGGAAGGAACTCAAGTCAGAATAAGGAAAGAACAGGTTAAAGAATATTTAAATAAGTTAGATGTATACAGGTTGGCAAGGCCTGCTGAAATTCATCCAAGGGTACTTAAGGAACTAGCCGAAACAATCTCAGAACCATTAGCCATTATCCTGAAGAACTCATGGAGGATGGGTGAGGTCCCAGAAGACTGGAGACACGCAAATGTAATACTTGTCTTTAAAAAGGAAAATCCATGTTGGCTATTTACCCCCTAACTCACAGTGAGTAATACCCTTCCTCCATATGTGGTCTCACTGGCCCCAGTGGAACTGGAGTGAGGTAGCTCAGTGTGAGTAAGTTTAACAGAAGCTAGCCTTTTTTAAACTATACTCTGCAAAGTTAATCCACCTCAGGTTCACCTCTGCAAAGTTATTCAAAGGACTTTTGTCCTTTTTAATAGGCCAAATGAAGATTTCTGAGTGTGTCACTTTTTAAAATGAGGAAATATGATTTGTTGAGGGTACATAGACCTTGATCAGATAATCACAATTCTAAAAATGTGTCTGACTTTTTAATCCCTCTTGATCTACCCTTGTAAGGCTGTGTGTGCAACCAAATAATTAAATGAAACGGTTTCTGTGTGAAGTCATTCTTGATATAGGGAGAGGCAAAAAAGGCTTTTTTTTTTTTTTTTATTCCCCTATGTATAGAAATATTTTCCCCTGTTTAATTACCTATTAAGACTGCCACTTTCTTTTTAGGAGAAAAGCAAATTGTATAGAACAGAAGTTCATAAATTGAAATCAGACAGTTACATGGAATTAGAGAGCAATCTAGACTCTGATGCATTAAATAGTAGTCTACTCTAAAGAAAAACAAACACTCATCTCCTGAAATAAGGTGTCTTAAATATTTGGGGAGGAATTGCTATATTGTGAGGAGGCAGGTCTGTGGAATTATACAAATCTGAACTTCAACCCCAGAAGAAGAAAAACCAATGAAGCTGAAAAAGAATACACTAAAACCACATGAATCAATAGGGAGCAGGGAATACGGAATTTATCTGGATAAACAAGGAATTTTTCAGTACAAATGATGTCCACTGAGGGGCATAACCTAATTTTGGATAAGAGTTTTTTGGATAAATAAGACTTTTGTCCTGTTTACATTTAACAGTATGTAAATGGAAGGGCGTGGAAGCCTTGTGGAGTATTATAACTGGTTTTTAGACAATTAAAATATTTAATTTGCTTCAAAATACAGTCATTAGTGCAGCATCAGGTCCAGTCCAGGCCTTAGATGATTGGTTGGACAGATCCATCCTGTTGGGTGCACATACACCCAGTGGACTCCAATAGCATTTCATATTTATTACGCTTTTTGAAAATTATTGCATGTGTGTTATTTTGTTAGAGAGACATGGTGGGTGAGGTAATATTTCTTCTTCTTCGAGTGATTGTTCATGTCCATTCCAAGCAGGTGTGTGCGCGTTCCGTGCACGCCAGCCAGAAGATTTTCCCCTAGCAGTGTCCGTAGGGTCGGCCTTGGCGCCCCCTGGAGTGGCGCCTCCATGGTGCCTTATATAGGGGCCCGCCGACCCTCCACCCCCTCAGTTCCTTCTTACCGCCGGTGACGGCTAGCTGGAACTTTGCTTGCTCTTGCAGCAAGCATAGCAGTGTCCCGTTTCAGTCTCGGGCCCATCAAGGGTGGCCCTACCATTGATCAAAACGATAGCTGATACGTCCCGCACTTTGTGGCAGACGCCAGCTTCGTTGGCCCTTACGGCCAAAAAGACAGAGAGGCGCTACTTCGTGCCCTCCAAAGGCCACGAGCACCTGTATGCCCACCCTCCCCCGGACTCTCTGGTCATGGATGCGGCCAACCAAAGGGAGCGTCAAGGGTTCCAGGGATCTACACCGAAGAACAGGGAGGCCAAAAAGTTGGACCTGTTTGGCAGAAAGGTATACTCAACAGGGGGACTACAATTACATATAGCCACATCTCAGCGTTCCACCCAGTAGTGGAAGGTGGTTCAGTTTTCGCAAACCCATTGGTTGGTCGCTTCTTCAAGGGCCTGGACAGACTGTTCCCGCATACTCAACAACCAGCACCGGCTTGGGACCTCAATTTGGTCCTTTCCGCCCTCACAGGGCCCCCCTTAGAGCCCCTGGCTACGTGCTCTCTGTTATATCTCTCATATAAGGTTGCATTCCTAGTGGCTATCACCTCGGCCAGGAGGGTGTCGGAACTCAGAGCACTGACGTCCGAGCCTCCATACACTGTCTTCCACAAAGACAAAGTCCAACTCAGGCCACACCTGGCGTTCCTTCCGAAGGTGGTCTCCCAATTCCATATGGGTCAAGACATTTTTCTCTAAGCCACACTCCTCCGGCACGGAGCATAGGCTGCATTCCCTAGACGTTTGCAGGGCCCTGGCATTCTATATTGAAAGAACCAAACCCTTCAGGAAATCAACGCAACTCTTTGTTGCCGTGGCCGACAGGATGAAGGGACTCCCTGTCTCATCACAGCGGATCTCCTCATGGATCACGGCCTGCATCCAAGAATGCTACGGTCGGGCTAAGGTGCCTGCCCCGCCGATCACGGCCCACTCCACAAGGGCACAGGCCTCCTCTGCGGCGTTCCTGGCTCAGATCCCGACACAGGAAATATGCAGAGCTGCCACGTGGTCCTCAATCCACACATTTACATCGCACTATGCCATCACGCACCAGGCCAGAGACGATGCAGCCTTCGGCCGCATAGTGCTCCAATCCGCAGTGAACTCCAACCCCACCGCCTAAGATCAGGCTTGTGAGTCACCTGCTTGGAATGGACATGAACAATCACTCGAAGAAGAAAAAACTGTTACCTACCTTTTTGTAACTTGTTCTTCAAGATGTGGTGTTCATGTCCATTCCAATACCCACCCTCCTTCCCCTCTGTCTGAGTGCTGGCAAGAAGGAACTGAGGGGGTGTAGGGTCGGTGGGCCCCTATATAGGGCACCATGGAGGCGCCACTCCAGGGGGCGCCAAGGCTGACCCAACGGACGCTGCTAGGGGAAAATCTTCCTGCTGGCGTGCACCCGCTGTGCACACACCTGCTTGGAATGGACATGAACAACACATCTCGAAGAACAACAGTTACAAAAAGGTAACCGTTTTTTACTGGATCAACTTCTGTTGGTGAGAGAGACAAACTTTCAAGCTCTTTTTGTTATTTATAAGCCCATGCTTACTGGAAATAAATGAACTGAAAATATTTTTGCAAGGTTTTCAACATTTATTTATTTTTTGCTTCGTTTCCATATTGATGAGATTTAAAATGAATGTGATATTACATATTTACATAATCTTCATTCCTGTGTGTTGTCTTAGTGATAAATGTTGGTTCAGAAGTATGAAGATTTGATTTTTGAGACACACTGTTGTTCAGCATGGGATAATTAAGAAAGAAATCACAATATCTCCATGAGTATTAACATAGCTACTAGCTAAGAAATAATTACAGTCTGTTAGAGATGTTCTGTATATCTAAGATGTGTGATCTTGTTTGAGACACATATTTAATTATCATTAAACACTCATTTTGCAGGTTCATGAGATCTTTGAGTGTCAGGAATGTGACAAGAAATTTATTTCAGCTAACCAGCTAAAACGCCATATGATAACTCACTCAGGTAAAAAAACCCTGTGTTTTTTCATGTATAGTGGAATTGGTCCTTGAGGTATATTGCCTTATGTTATTTTTTTATAGACGTTTTGATGGATTCTGCAGTGTCTGGGAGCTGGTGCAAGTAAATCTGGTGCCAGCTAACTCTCTTTGCACCAGTGAAAGGTCCAAATTTAATGGTGCAACCTCCTGCTCCTGGCAACTTCTTCAAGCTTCTCCTTCCGGCTAGCTGGGATGAGAGAGTGCAATGCTATGGGGTTTGGGGAAGAAATAACATTGCTGCTTGTTTTGTGTAGGGGTTTAGATGTCTAGTGGTTGAATGGAAGGGGTGCAGAACTGGGATATGACCCAGGCAGGACTGTGATGAAAGGAGAGACATTCAGATTCTCTAATGGACTTGCCATATGAGCACAGAGCTCCTAGTCAGAATAAAGCAGTTTATATTCCACACCATGCAGTAGACCACACATTAACATATCAGCCTGCCTGATGTTTGGTAGAGCAGGTCACTGTGACTGGCAGCACCCTCTGTCTGCAGGTCTGGCAGTATTATATGAATTGGCACTGCCAGCATTTTTGATCTTTGGAACCTGGCGTTTCTAGGTCTTTCATCCAGTAATTAGAAACATCAACGAACACAATGGAGGCACAAACTTGGTTTTGTCAAATACATTAAAGTTTAAACATGCAGGATTTTGTAACAGCGGAGCCTTTTAATATATCTGCTTTCTTGGTTGCAACATACTGCAATCACATTTATTTTAAAATAAGCTTTATCCAGAGGCTTTTAGCTTATTGATGCTTTTGGGTGAGACTACAGGGCTTGTGTTTGAGTCACCAGTTCAAGCAGAAAGGCTTTTGCATAGCAACTTTTGGTTTTTGAAACTAATATGATATGTATATTGTTAATTAACTTTTAAAACATTTAAACTGTCATGTCCTCTTTCACATTTGTAATCTGGAAGCAAGCTTTTCCTCTTTGAAGTCATTTTCTTTTGATTTAAGCTAATTAATCAGAATTTAGTGTTAGCAATGATTATTGCAAAGAATGTGCCAATTTCTTGAGATACACCATAGCTCATCTTTTATGAAGTGACTTAACTGTCTAACATAAAGGGCATTAGATGTCTTTCTAATTGGTTTAATCTTAATTGGGTTGACTTAATTGCAAAAATCTCTCTGAGGAGATGACTGTCTCTGCCTTTCATCTTCTCCCCCTGTATAAACAGGAGATTAAATGTCCCCCACTCATTTTCTGCAGAAAAACGCCCCTACACCTGCGAGGTTTGCAATAAGTCCTTCAAACGACTTGATCAAGTGACTGCACACAAAATAATACACAGTGAAGATAAACCTTATAAATGCAAGCTTTGTGGAAAGGGATTTGCCCACAGAAATGTTTACAAGAATCACAAGAAGGTAAAGCACTCTGCTGTTGTTGTTTACAGGTCTGCCAGCCTCAGATATGCAGCTATTTTTCTTTTAAATGGTTGATCATTAAGCTCTGGCATGCTTATAAACATGAGATTAAAGTATTAGAAAATGTATTTTCTAGTGTTCTTTGTTATAACCAAGATCTCAAGATAATAAATGAATTCCAGTAAAATACAAACAAACACACACAAATGATTCTTCTGCTAAATGCACTGAATAAATCCCTATTTTGATTTTTCTGGTTTGTTTTTATATGTTATCAAGTCAAATATTTATCTGATCTAAAAGGTCTTCAGTTTTTGGCTTAAAAAAGAATGATCATATTTGAACAAAATGAGCAATAATGCTGCTGCAGTCATTCCTAATCGTACTTATCAGGAGATACTTTCAAACAACATATTATTTGCATTTGGTAGTGTTAAATAATACATTTCTGAAACAGCAGAAGAAACACTACCTTGAGAATGTACACATGAAGGGATGCTCTACTTCTGTTAATTTAAGCTCAAATCTGCCTGTCCTAATTTCTGTAATGCCTGTCATTACTTTTAACCCTACGTTACATTTTCAATGGCAAGGCTACCCATGACTGCTGCTTCAGAATTACAAGACTGTAAAAAAAATTATCTGGCTGATTTCCTGCCCAGTCTTTGGAACCCCTTGCTTTCCCCCCTCCACTTTGATGAAACTGATATACCCATACTTATAAGGTTTTCACAGTGTGGCTCATGTTATATGCCATCTGGGAATTTGGCACAGGATCTTTGCACCATCTCTTGTACTTTCAGACATAAATCATATGAAAGTAATAATAATGTCTCTTACAGAATGAAACAGGGATGACATTTTCCCCCTTAAAACAGAACGCATGCACAATCATGCTGAAAGACAAGGCTAGCTGCCATATATATTATGATCATAACTTGTGTGTAACTTCATTTAAAAAAAAAACAGCAACCAAAAAACAAGACCTTACCAAGTGGATACAGTTTTATGAAAATTCCTGAAATACATAATCTGGGCAGCCACTTCTGTATCTAAAAACTAAGAAAATCTACAGATTTTGTTATGATAACCTTCATCTGATGTCCAGTAGAGAGTTTTGCCTGAACTAATAACTTCAGGATCAAGCAAGAATAATGAATGAACTGCCATATCATTTTGGCCCCATAATGCAACCCTTACTTAAGTCAGTGGCTTTGCTCATATAACTAAAGATTCTATGAGTAAACCTTGCAGGATCGGATCATATATTTGCTGAAGATTACCGATTCTGCTAACCGAGAGAAATATGCAAACTTTATAGTTGATTATCTGGTAAATATCTTGTTTAGTTTTTGTCATAATTATTCTCACACTTTGCAATAATACTTATTTCTTGAGTCTGTGTGCTAGTAATGCAGAGAGTATCTTAGTCCAATTAGATAAAGACAATGCACAGAGAAACAAAAGAATATAAGATCTGTACATTTAATGATACAACAGCAAGTCCTGTCAACCCCTTCAAATCCAAGCAACTTACCTTCTTTAAAACACAGTAAATCCCTGTGTACATTGAACAAACAGTGTGGCACAAACTATATGATAGAAGGGGTACTAGTCTATTTGTATGGCCATGATTTTGAGAGGACTGCACTATGCACAAGAGGTAGAGGGCTCAGTGACTTGTTGACAATGTAGTTATCCCAATAAGATGGAAATTTAAAACATCATATCATCCCACTCCATCGTATATTTCATTTATGCTTTTTTATCATATTTGTGGTTTTGTTTGTTTAAATCTACATCCTCCTGATTGGTTGGTGTGTGTGTGTGTGTGTGTGTGTGTGTGTGTGTGTATAATCCTATGGGAATACTGTATCTGTTTTATTTTCTTTGGGTGAAAGTAAATGTTTGCACCCAAATCGGCCGACAGCGCTTTTTCAGTTTCAGAATACTTTTACTATACTGAAGCAGCTTGGTTATAAATGTGCAGTAGGAATGATGTGTGCTATGGTTAAAAAACAGATAAATAAACAGTATGTAATGGAAAACATATTTTCAGTTTTGAAAAACCTTTTTGGCTTTTACATTGCATCTAGCATTATACGACAGACTTTCATTTATAATAAGAAACAGGATGGAAGTGTTTTGCCCTCTTTGAATTTTATATGTATTATTTGGATGAAGGTTTGAGGTTTTTTTTGTTTGATTAATGTATAGAGGATACCTAAGCTGGTGTTGTGTGGAAGTGTCAGAATAAAGTAGTACTTTCAAACATGGCTCAGGTTTTGGGGAGTGCTGCCCACTGTGCAGTTTAAGACTGGGCTTTTCAAAGAAGCTGAAGAGAATTAGGTGCCCAACTCTCATGGAACTTCAGTGGGAAGTGGGAGTTAACTCACTTGGTATAAGTCTACACAGCAAAAAAAACCACCACATGGTAATGAATCTCAGAGCCTGGTCAACTGCCTCGGGCTTGTGCTATGGGGCTAAAAATAGCGGTGCTGACATTTGGGCTTGGGCTGGATCCCGGACTCTGAAACCCAACGAAGGGGGAGGGTTTTGGAGTCCGGACTCCATTCTGAGCTCAAATGTCGACACTGCTATTTTTAGCTCTGTGGTTCGAGCCCTGTGAGTCTGAGTCAGTTGACCCAGGTATGAGACCTGCTGCCATGTTTTTTCTTTTTTGGGTGGCGGTTGTTGTTTTTTGCAGTGTGGATGTACCCTTAGGCTCCTCTGAAAAGCCCAGTCTACAGAATTAAATAGGCATTTCTGTGGAAGAGGAGAGCAATAGTATTTAGGGGAGGTGAGCAGTGTTGGATTTGTGCTGAAGAGAAACCCTGTTACCTTCCATGATGGAAGGTCAGACCTGACGAAGGTGGGCGTATAGTACAAATTATTTTTGTATCCAGAAGTATCTGGCTTTGTTTCCCCCACCTCTTCGTTGCTTGTTGACTACATGTCGCTAACGTTGTCAGGGAAGAGAATGTGAAGATACATGACCAGTAAACAGTAGTAGCTCAGTAGACACAAGATGCAGAAGAGCCTAGAGCTAATCAAGGGATATTCACTCAAGAAAAGACCGAGAATCACACTGATGGCACTACCATGGGGGTTCTACTAGAATAAGCAGCTGTATGCTGGGGTTGAGAATAGAATTCCACAAGACCCGTGCTAGCGAAAGCTTCCTAGGGAAAGTTCCACAGCAGCCCTTTCCCCAGCTGCCTTGGTCTCATCACCCTCCAGAATAGAAGCCAAGCCCTTTTAGAATTCCAGTGGCTAGCTACAACCCCCCTGGCAGAATAAGAGTTGTAGGTGTCTTGGGTGCCACATCCTCCCTCTGCAGACTTTCGAACACGAGGTGCCCTGTGCCGGCCCAGATTCTGAATGAATGAAGTCTATAGTATATGCATTTCTGTGCCATGCAAAACACTGGAATGTATAAACAATGGTTTCCTAATAAGGATAAAATTCAAATGAGGGAAATTATTTTCAAGCATCTCTGCCTGTGTTGCACTTTCCTCTATTTACATTACTGCGTGAGCTGCACTAATGCAGTAAAATGCTTACAAATATTCCCAGTGTGGATAGACCTTTTCTGTGCTGATACACTTTTAAAAAACCTGGGTTCAGTCCTGTATCCAAATTTTCAACATACGTCAAGGCTCGGTTTGCCACTGACTTGTAGAAAAGAGCTTTGGATAACAATTGAGTGGATTAGATACTTTTCCAAGGCCCTGTCAAGCCTGTGGATAGGGCGCTAGCCTAGGACTTGCAAGACCCATGCTCAGTGTCGTGCTTTGCCACCAACCTTTTGTGCAAGTCACTCAGTCCGAATGTGCCTCAGTTCTCCATCTCTAAAAATGAGGATGATAATACTTTCCTACCTCACAAGGGTATTGTGAGGATAAATACGTTAACAATTGTGAAGCACTGTGAGGTCTCTGGATGAAAACTGCTATATTTTTAGCTTTTATTTAAACATGTGAATAGTCCTACTGAAATCAATGAGACTACTCACATTGTTAGTATTAGGCAGTTGCTTAAGTACCTTGCTGAATCAGAGCCTAAACCAGTAAATGCAGCCCAAGGAGTACCATAAGGATAATGGGCACCCTCCTTTTGACTGCAGAAACTACAGGTCTTGGTGCTTGCTGCTTCAGCTTGCTCCCAGTAGAGGTCAGCTGCATATGAAAGCAGCTGCAATCTGTTCTGTTACATTCAAATTAGGGGCAGCTCCCCATGTGGCCATCACCTGGTGTGTGTGTTTGGGGGGGGGAGAAATTGGATATAGGATAGTCTACATTTGTATGATTATCTCCTGTTCAGTGTATTTGCTACTGCATGTATCTTAATTGTATCTTTTAAAATACAAAAGTTGAAGTATTGTATACAATATACTGTGTGTGTGTACTATTATACAGTATTTTGTATATTTATTATATACAGTTAGAAGTAATTTTGTAACAGCAACTAAAGCCTTATTAGTTGAACCTTCAAATGTCATGTGAGCACAACAAAAATACTAGGCCAGTTTTCCAATTTGGAGTCTCCTACTATAGAACCCATGTGCATTTCTAGCAAACCCAAAGAACTCCTGGTGTGTGCAAGTGAACATGTGATTGTGAGAAGTGTGTGATGATGACAATGATGCATTCATCTCAAGGTGCACTTTCGCATCTATTACACATTTAGGTATTCGTCTCAATTATGAGGCTTAGAAATACAGTTGGGCTCCTATACTGTAGCTAAAAGGCCATATATGAGAGAAGCTATGAAGGGCTTTTAAGTGACAATGGAAGGGTCCCACAACCATAGAACTAACAAAACAGAAAAGCATTCTAGAGTAGGGTGTTTTGGAAAAAAAAAAGAAGTGACTTTTGCGCTCGTGAAAAGTGCCAGATTGACAGCCCTGGAGACTGAACCCTTCTATTTATCCACAGAACAGGTACAGCACAGACAGCAGCACTGCAAGCTTCCCCACAGTGTCTCATCAATGTGTCTCAACCCTGTTCTGGAGGAACCACCTATTGAGGTGAGAAGGTAGTTCAGTCTCTTCACGCCCAGTCAATCCTTGGCCTCTCTGCTGAGACTGCCAATAAGGATATCAACTAATGCTAATTATGATGTGAACCACTAGGAACCAAACTGAAATGATCAATTTATTTTACATAGCCATTTGATGGTCATTCAGTGACCTTTCTACTATATGTGATTTTAGGCTGGATTTGAGCTACAGACTGAGGTTGAAAGCCTCTGTATCCCATTTTCAGTCATTGCACTGTCTGAGCCATCCAGTCTCAAGGCACCTTCTTAAAGGTACCCCCTCTCTCTTGTGGACATACACCAAGAAATAGGTGTAAAGTAGCAAGGCTTTGTTTTTTAATAACAAACAAAGGAATGTTTGAAATAATAAGTATCTAGAATGAAATCGTCCTGTGCTGTTTTATTTATCTAATCAGTTCTGGCTGTGGTTTTTGTAATCCACTACAGATGGCTATTAGTATATTGTAACACAGGGATTGGCAACCTTTGGCATGCGGCCCACCAGGGTAAGCCCCCTGGTGGGCCAGGCCGGTTTGTTTACCTGCTGCGTCCGCAGGTTCGGCGCTCCAGGCTGAGGGATGTGCTGGCCACTGCTTCCCACAGCCCCCATTGGCCTGGAGTGGCGAATCGCGGCCAGTGGGAGCTGCGATCAGTCAAACCTGCGGAGGTGGCAGGTAAACAAACCGTCCCCTCCCGTCAGGGGGCTTACCCTGGCGGGCCATGTGCCAAAGGTTGCCAATCCCTGCTGTAACATCTTGGTATTGCTAGCCATAAGAAAGGACATTTGCGTTAAAAATGAATGTGAGTATGGGATCCAAAAGGGCTAAAGGCTGCATGTAAATAATTTTACTGCCCCTTTTTCCTCCACCACCTCCTGTTTGTGGTGTAGCTATGAAAGTCTTATGACATTAGGGATTTCCCTGCTACGAGGAGAAAATAGATTGCACATTTATGTACTATATTCATGTTTACCCTCAGGCTATGAGATTCACTGGTTAATATACATAATTTTATTAACCATAATCCCTGTGTGTGATAAAACACTTCCAGTCACTCCCCTTTCCCTTGGGGCACAATAGCTTTCAATTAAGGCCCTTGTGCGCTAAATGCGGTATTTAGAGACTGATTCTTTAAAACTTCCCTTTATCAGAAAATTATAGGCAATTTGGTTAGATAACATATTATACAGCTTCATTTACTGGCTATAGTGGGATAGTTCTTCATTGCAATAAAAAAAACAGAGGCAGTGATTTGAAATTTGCAGAAGTAGGGTAAAAGCTGATTCTTTCACAAGCTCCAGAGATCAGCATCAGCAGCTATGAAGTTTGTTTACAAGATTCAGCCAAGCTTAGCTTTCCGTCTTGTTTATGACTTTGATGTGACTATTTCAGCTATGATGAATTTTTACTGGGGTAAGCAAGGCTCTCAATACAAATACTTCTGTCTTCTGTTTTAAATTAGCAAATGAAGCTGAGACAAGAGGATGGGGATAGGTTCTAGATTTGAGAGATTTTATTTTGCTAAATTTTAAATTGGTGTCTTGAGAATAGGCAGATCAGCAGTGGCTAAGAGTGAACTGTAATTAACAGAGAAAATGTGCTTTTGAGGGTGCACTTAATTTTGATGATGATATGTATTATTTGGTGAAACAGCAAATTCTAGCTTGTAGCTTTCCTTCAAAATATAGGTATTCTCTTTGTATGTGTACACAGAGGCAGACACAGATGAGTGTGCGCGCACACACACACACACACACACACACACACCTTTTACATAACAGAATTCCAAGGATTTGTGGTGTACAGCTATTTAATAGCTGCCAAGTTGTCTTGCAAAGTTCCACTTAAATGAAGCATGATGGTTATTTGAATCCTTTGTCACCTAGTATGTGGAACTGCCATGATGTCTTCTCTGAACGCAGCCTGCCAGGTTAGCTACAATTATTGTAATAACGCCTAATTGATTTCCCTGATCCTTCCCCCTGACTCATTCTCTTTCGTCTGCAGACCCACTCTGAAGAGAGACCATTCCAGTGTGAGGAATGCAAGGCTTTGTTTCGCACCCCATTCTCTCTGCAGAGACACCTACTAATACATAACAGTAAGTGCTAATTCAGAGAGGCAATGGGCTTCATCAGTTCACATCACTGACTTGTGGGAGGAAATGCACTGTTACACAGTACAAAATTAAAGTACATTCTCGTTCTGCTCCCGAATACACTAAATTATGTTCAGTTATTATAAAGGTTCAACCCATAAGAGCCAGGAAATTCAGTAAAGTCTGAAAGTTTACCCTTGACGACACCTGCTGCACGACATGGAGGCTACAGATAATCCAGTGTTGTTTCGAAGTCCTTTGGCAAAGGACTTCTGCATCTTCCAGATTAAGTTGTAATATTACACTCATTTATGGATGGGGAACTGAAATCCCAAGAACTGAATGACTTGTTCAAGGTCACATATGAAGTCTGTGTCAGAATTGGGAACTCATGCTATAGCTTTTAAGTCCCAGTCCAGGTCCTTAGCCACAAACCAAGTCTTTCTGTCAGCAGCATAAATGCTAGCAGACTAGACAAGTTCCTATGTCCCCTTTAGCCTACAAACTATGCCCTCTTGGACCTGTATCTAGTCTTCTCAATCATTGTTAAGAGACTTTGCCTTGCTTTGAGGTTTTGGGGCAGAGGTGCCCTCTTTACCTCTTCAGCAGAAGACAGGATTTAGTCACTTGTGAGAGTCTTAATTTCTTTTATATTTTGTTAAATGAGTTAATTAAAAATAGCTTTATAAAAGTATATGGAAATTTCTCATTATTTTACTACTAAGTGAATATGCATTAAAGAAATTTTTGGAACAATGTTTTTTTTAAGGCTTTCAAAGCTGCTCTGATCTATTGTTTCAATGAGTATTTAAGTTTGTAGAATCTTGTTCTCCTGATAAACTTACCCAGAATGCTAAAAATCTTTATTCAATGTATATATACTCCACTGCATAGAAACCCCTTTTTAAAACACTAATTTAGGGACTGATCTAAAGCCCATTGAAATAATTGTTTTCCATTGACTTCAGTGGGCTTTGTCTCCCCTCACCTCCAAAATATCCAAAAGTAGTAATGCACATTGAGTTACAGGCTCTTGCGAATCTCCATTTAAAATACATCTTTTGGTTTTTCACATTCCCAGAGCTCAAAAATATTCAAAAATTCTTTTTGGTTTGTACTTTAAACATCTTCGGGGGGGGGGGGGGGGAGGGAAAGGATAAAGCACACTTTTATCCCAAGTTTATTAAAATAAATGTTCTAGCTCCTGGCATCAGTACCAACACAACTTTATTTATTTATTTATTTATTTATTTATATAAAGCAAACTTAGCAAAGTGAAAGTCATCACTATCATGTACTGAGTAAGAAATAGTTTAAATACAAGATAGTGGCTAAAACAAGGGTCCCTGCTGTTTTAAGAGCAGAGCTTGTATTCCAGGTAAAGAACATTAAAACTCCACCCTTTCTGACCTCATCCTGATATTCACTATGGCTATGGCCATGATTATGAGCCTGTCATTTATTTAATAACCCAAAAATAACTGAGAATCATAGGCATTGTCATATTAGAGCAGACCAGTGGTCCCTCTTCCAGCACTGAACTATATGTGCTGCTTCCGAGGAAAGAGCAAAACCAAACCAAAAAAAATCCACCTAATGTTACAGTTTTACAATGCTGTGTCATCGGGAAGGAATTGTGTGGTAAACTTCTTCCCCACTGAGCAGTAAATTCAGGAAAGCATGGAAAACTCAGAATTAAAGCATAACCTCCATCATAAATTCCATCTAAAATCAGTATGCAAATTGTACACAGTGTTGTTACTTTAAAAGTGGGGTATCCTGCAGGCAATGGTATCTAGCATACTTAAAGTTTTAAAAAATAATGTTTAAATTAGAACAAAAATAAATATATTTAATAAAAGAATGCCTAGAAGTACGGTTCCACTCTGAAAAGTGGATCTATGAAAAATGGTGGTATGGGGTTTGATTTTATATATGATTTATTTATTTATATGTTTTGGTCTTTCAAGATTCCAGATCAAATGTGTTTAGCTTAGACTTCCCGCTGTCCTCAACTGCCAGCTCTGCAAATTCAATCTGGGATCTAAAAGTAAAGCTGAGTTCATCCCTATTCTTGCATATCACTGCAAGATTACTAGGTCCTGCATGCTAAATTATCAGGGTTCATTTGATTTAAATCATGATTTAAATCACTAGTCAAACTCAATTTAATCATGGATTTCTACATAAAAATGTCAACCAGGTCAACATGAGAAACATAAAATATTGGTTTCTGTGGCTAACTCAGTCGTCTTCACCTGTATTTTCCTGTTTGTTCATAATCTGGAAAAGAAAAACCAGCTTTCCTGCTTTTTCAGGTCCCAAACAATTTCTCAATTTGGAATGAATTAGTCCAAAGGAAGAAAATATTCTTTCTACACCGGCAGAAGAAGCTACTGCTGTTAAAAGTGAGATTATCACTTCAACAGTCTCTGAATCCAAGTGCTTAAGTGACTTCCACCAGTTCACTGGTTTGACTTTCTTTAAAACATCATCAGCAAACATATATTTCTTGAATGGTTCACCCTTATCTCTGAAGTTTATTATAGTTGGCATTATGGAGGGATGATTGCTGGATGTTCATGTCATAGCCAACTCCTCTTCTTCAGCAGTTAAGGTTTGACCTTGGTACCGAGTATTGAGAATATTTGCGAGAAAAAGAGCTGGAGATAGTGCTTGTCCCATTTGTTTTTTTTAATGCTTGTAATTTAACTCTGTCACTGCATATTTCTCTTTTTAAGATCTCACTCAGTTCCAAATTCAACAGTGTCAGCAATAAAACAGCTATTTCCCTGCATTTTGTTCAAGGCTACAGAAATAGGCTTCAGGATACTCAGCATGTGTTCAACATTTCTCTTAAGCCCAATGTTGAGAACTTTGGCTGTGACAGTGCCATCTATTTTTTTCACGATTTTGTTCATCAGATTAGGCCAGTTCTTGATATAGTGCTCAAAACAGTCCACTACTGAGTTCCATCACACGTCTTGTGGGAGAGTTACCTTGGTTCCTCCTACTTTTTTCAGAGCAGCTGGTGCAAAGTGGTTGTTAGGGAAGTATTTTGCAATTTCAACAACATTAGCCTTTATTTCTGGAACACTGAAGTCTTTCGCTAGGAGGTGAATCAAATGAGCACTGCAACCGTATTTTATTAGGTTGGGGCTCTCTTCTAAATATTTTTTTCTCATCTTAGATATATTTGCAGCATTGTCTGTGACCAAGCTGCGTACAAGACATTTGAATTTTTTTTCACAGTTTGTTACAGCTTTTACTGCTACTTCTTGTAAGTATTCTGCTATGTGTGCATTTCCTGATGTATCAGTTGTTTCTGTAAGGAAGACATTTCCTTCTTCTGTTGTCACACACACACATACGACAGGATCATTGTGGACATTGCTCTACCCATCAAGATTCGGGTTAACAATTTTACCCTCTAGACCTTTTGCACACTGCTCAATTTCTCTTTCATACACTTTATCCAGCACTTTATCTGTTGGGTGGACTGTATCCTGGTCTTAATGATTAAACCACGTTAATGAAGTGTGGGTTCTCAATCATACGGAAAGGAGAGTTTGTTGCATAAACAAACGATAATTTTTTCATCAATTACCTCTTTTTGTAATCTGCTGGTTCTTACCACAAACTTGTCTAAGGCTGTTTCTGGATGATGGAGATTTTTTTTTTTTTTTTGGCTACAGGTGATACACTGTGGCTATGTGACGTACATAATGTGACTGAAACACTATCATTGGCAGATAACTCTGAAACTATAGAAAATGATGGTGATCTTGAAGGTGGATAGTCTTCAGAATCCTGTATGTTGAGGATGGATTCTCCTAAACAAAATATGTCAATGCAGTATTATTACCATACTGCTCATTTAGTATTACTCATTGCATTCACTGACACTCAGTACTGCTTTAAAAGTGAAATTGTAAAAGGAAGATCTGCCTATTTCAGTTATTTATTTTTTATCACAACTGCATCTAAAATGATAGTACCATAGAGTAACAACTATATTTTTTGCTCAAACATGAGAATTCAAGAATAATCCAGAAGGAAGACAGGCAGTCCTTAAGAAAGAAGTATGAAATAAAAAAAATTTACCAACCTGACGATCCTGCATGTTCAGACACGTTCCTTTCATCATCTTCAACTCAGCTTCCTCCTGAGAAGGAACACTTCTCATGATGAAAGAACAGGAGTACTTGTGGCACCTTAGAGACTAACAAATTTATTTGAGCATAAAGAAGTGGGCTGTAGCCCATGAAAGCTTATGCTCAAATAAATTTGTTAGTCTCTAAGGTGCCACAAGTACTCCTGTTCTTTTTGTGGATACAGACTAACACGGCTGCTACTCTGAAACTTCTCATGATGTTGTTTCATTCAAGTAACCAGGCCTTGCATTTCTTTGTTGCACTGTTTGCATTTTGCACACATGCCTGTCTTACCCACAGGTAGAGAAACTTCATTAAAATAATGGGGGGAGGGATATCTCAGTGGTTTGAGCATTGGCCTGCTAAACTCAGGGTTGTGAGTTCAATCGTTGAGGGGGCCATTTAGGGATCTGGGGCAAAAATCTGTCTGGGGATTGGTCCTGCTTTGAGCAGGGGGATGGACTAGATGACCTCCTGAGGTCCCTTCCAACCATGATATTCTATGATTCCCAAACTGGGTCTCTTTTACAGCCTGCTGCCATTATAGGTTTTCCCTTCTAGTGAGAGAATGGTATGGTAGATCTCAAATCAATGAGGCTATTCTCAGAAAGACCTTAAGACTTCTGGAATATGCTGCTCAAACAGTTTCACTTTTGTTTCTACTGCCTGGCCCTCCCTTCTCACATTTATCTCCAGACTTCTTCTCCTTGTCCAGATCTATTCCGCCCTCCCTCTTCCCCCCCCCCCCCGCTTCTATTCGTTGAACTTTTTGAAATTTTTTGCACTTCTAGGGAGAGGTAAGGGATTGACTCTGTGTACACAAATTTGCAGAGGGACAATAAGGTTGATGTCTGTTATTTCTCACCTCTATATATTATTTATTTAAAAACATTTTTGCTGTTAACAAGCATGTTATCTCTGGAGACACAAATCCACAGTTGAGAACTGCAAAACTAAGCATCTCTGATGGTATCTTCTAGACTGAGCACTGAGTCCCATTGGGTAGATAGAAAGATTAACCTAAATAATTTATACAGAAGCCCCTGGAACCCCATAAGATTGGGTCCCTAATCCATGAACTATTGGAACTCATTTACAAAACTTTTCTTAAACATTACATGAATATATTGTCTCCATACTACGGAATTAGAATTTATAATCCCTATTCCATGATGAGACATTATAGCTCAAAGATGTATCTTAATTAAAAATATCTTTAGATAGGCTTTTTCCTCTTTCCTTTTTCAAAAAAATCCAATTTAAATAAAAAAATCAGATTTTTTTTTAAATCATTGATTTTTATCCACTCTGTAAATTATCCTCTCACTAACACTTGTGCAACCCTTCTGATTTCAACAGATTTACACCAATGTAATTTATAGATTTTAGTAACAATTCTGTTGGTAATACATGAGAAGGAATATAATCCATGTTACGCACCTCCGAGCCAACGAGAATTAAAGGGAGTGAACACTTACTTTGGTTACTAAAGCAAGCAGGTAGGACTCTAAATATGTACATATGTAAGAAGATCCACTGAGCAAGAAGACCCGATTTTTACATACTCACTTTCCAGAGTACAAAACTACACTTGTAAAAACCTAATAATAATAATAAAAAATTAAAAAGCTCTTGCTACTGTATCCAGCAGCAGAATTGGTAGGAGTAAAAGTTGGGGAAAGTTTCTCTCCAAAAAACACAATGAGGCCTATGATCCTTATAATCTGTACCAGAAGGAGAGCACAGAAATGGGCAGAGCAAAGCCCATGAGGCGTGATTCCCATGTAAGCCATTCAACACGATCAGTACATCTGGGGGAAATACATTTTTGGGTATATTATAACAGTGCTCCATTGGGTCCCTGTTTTGTTTTTGGATGCAATTATAGGTACAGATTTTGCATGGTAAAGCTCTGTGCGGTTTGGGTTCTAGCTGTGTGAGAAACACTCCCCTCCCTGTGCAGTGTCACAAGAAAGTAAGATGCATTTTCACTTTTATTCTCTAGCTTTGACTGCCTGGGCTAAAGGCAGAAAATTTTGATTAGTATGTTTTTAATTTTAAAATTGACTTCCTCTCAATCCAACAGAGCCAAAGTCTGTTGACTTGGAAATAGAGAATGGAAATACTTTCTCCATTTTGTATGTATGAAGTGACTTTTTTTTTCCCCCAGTAGCTCTAGAGCATAAGTAGTAGGTGGAAGAAATTTGGCAGAGAGAGAGTCCATAGCCTGCAGACATGCTTTACAGTAGTGAAAATAGGTTGTGATTTATCAAAGTAATGAGGTGTTGTAAAATATACTTTGTGTACTATTAAAAAAAAAATACTATGCACAGTGGATTTTTATAATGCTATCTTTTCAAATGTATCTAAGGGATTTAGGTGCATAAGTCTGATTTGAAAATCAGTTATACTAGTGTTTCTAAGTCCTGTAGGGGTTTTGAAAATCTCCTCCATAACTGTCTACCAATGTTCTATTGCTTTGGTGCAGGAGTATGTTGGTTAGGAAAGTTTTCTTGTGTCTTTTCTGTGATTAATGAAGGTGTGTTGTGAGGCTAAATTGATTAATAAAGTAGAGAAAAGTCTCTAAAGAAAGGAGAAATTCCCTATTCAGTACAGTGTTTGGATGGCATGCAGTTAATGAGGTATGGGGCCGCACACTGAATAATTAGGCTTAGAAAAAATTATTGAATAGTTTCTTTGTTCACTGAGTGCTATCCATCTTGTACATTCTGGCTCTTACTCTGCATAACACTTAAAAATACTCACCCATGAAAGCTTATGCTCCAATACTTCTGTTAGTCTATAAGGTGCCACAGGACTCTGTCGCTTTTAACTTAAAAATATGTGCTTAACTTTAAGCTTGTTAGTAGACCCATTGACTTCTGTGTGCTTAAGTGCTTTACTAGATTGAGGTGAGTACATAGCACCTAACAGGATCCATTAAGGTCTTTTGGGGAAAAAAATAGTACGTAGTCTATGCAATTAAAGACTGACTGTATCATAAAGTGTGCACACAAAGGGACAGAGTTAAGGTTCTGTTTGCAGCCTCAGTTTTGGCATTTCTAACTTTTGGGTGCTTCACTTTAGAACTTCAAAAGAACATTAATACTTTTTTAAAATGGAATTTGTCATAGAATTGTTATATCATTGTGGAAATACAGAACTGAAGCTGACTGGAGTGATTACATTTAAAAGTGTTTTCAGTATTTTTTCTTTAATGAAGCAGTAAGAGCTTGCAGATTACTTTCATCAGAATAACAATGAGGAGTCAGGTGGCACCTTAAAGACTGAGAGATTTATTTGGGTTTTTGTTACCCACGAAAGCTTATGCCCAAATAAATCTGTCAGTCTTTAAGGTACCACCAGACTCCTTGTTGTTTTTCTGGATATAGACTAACACGGCTACCCCTCTCATATTTAATCAGAATGTTAATTGACTTCACTTGCACTTAACACAGGGAGATGTTACTAAAGGAAAGGGATTCCAAAAGAGACATCAGGCCATGAGTTTTAAAGGTTGAGAATGAAGAATTTCATTAAATATTTTGGTGCATTTTTGGTGTAAAATCTTGTCTCCAGATGCCTCAGACGATGGTGCTTTTGCTCCCAACTGCAAATCAAATACATTTTTTAACGATTGATGTTATTGGGAAGCGAAACTGAGGCTGAAGGATGATGCCTAAGTGTACTTGCTGAACCATTAAAAAAAGTTCTAATCTTTATTGGCTCTATGGGTTGGATAATGCTGCTTACCAGAAGATAATAGGTACAAGATCTATTTCCATGACCAGTAGAGTCTGTTATGAGCAAGGACTGTTGCTAATGGAAAAATGAAATGTTTCATTTGTAATAGTTGTGTCTTTAAATAGTAATGTCAGTGGAGAGGTGGATTAATTTGGTGTCATCAGAGTAAAGTTATGCAATAAGGAAATAAATATATCAGCACCATTGGCATGTACTATCAGATTGGTCTTTACCCAAAGACCATTGAAGCAAACGGGAGTCTTTCCATTCATTGGCCTTTGGACTTAGCCCAGAATGCACAAGGAAAATGGAATCCAGTGGAACTGAGAGGGCGGTATTGTCTAATAAGTGGTATTGAGAAAGTATCCTTGCTAGGGTTCAGGAGCCTGCAGATCAAAAAACTGAATTGGGAAGTGGAAGGTCCAGGGGATAATGACTTCCTTGGACTTTCTTTTCACTTTGATTGCTCTTTGTTTTTTATTCAAGTGCATGGAAGTTACTTCAGGACAGATGCACCTTAAATTCCTGTTTTTTACCAAGATTTTGTGGGCGTATAGATATTTTAAATATGAAGGGTTTCTGAATGAATTTCATTTTACAGATCAATACATAGTAATATACTTAGCAGGAACCTGAAATTCACTTCTATATTTAAGGTAATAAGAACAGTAAGATTTTGTAACTGTTTACCTCCAGTTTCACCTTCTTGGATTTTCTTATCAAAAATTTTGTGTAGATTTTCATAATATGATATTTCCTCTCCTTTATTTTATTTTCTTTGATGACAATTAAAATATCATCACTGGCATCTGAGTTAGCATTCACAGAAATGAATGAAGCAGTTCTAATCTCAAAGCTATTGTTAAGGATTCTTTGCAAACTCAAGCAGGCATCTCTGCATCAGTTATATACACTTATCATTTTGAAATTTTTCTTTGCAACCATAATAGCTAGAGACGGTGTTGGGCGTGCTGCTTTTCAGATTAGATATAAACCCAAAGGTCCTGACCACTTGTGGTCATTCAAGATCATTCACTTTCGGCAAGGGTAGAGAAGTTAATCCCAACTTCCTGGGTAAATTATTTGCGTGATTACATTCTGCTTTCTTACATTGAAATTTATATTGGATATGGTGTTCTTTCACTTCTTGTTCCAGAGACATGTCAGTTCAACTTCCTCTACGTGGCAGATTTATACACCGTGTTCCCTTTCTCAAGGGATTAGAGAGTTAACATGATTCCTGACATTAGTTAGTGTGTTTACACCTTGCTTTTCTATTTTATAAGGTGAGAGGACCTTCAAGTGTGATCACTGTGATGCTACCTTCAAAAGGAAGGACACGTTAAATGTTCACATCCAAGTTGTGCATGATGGACATAAGAAATATAAATGTGATCTGTGTGACAAAGCCTTTGTTACACCTTCAGTGCTTAAGAGTCATAAAAAAGTGAGTATAATCAACTCCCCTGCATTTTCATTCATTTCCTTGTTTGTTTACCCTCAAGACTGTGTCTAAACATAATATCCCTCAATGTTCCTGTATGGTGGTTTTTTTCAGTAAAAAGTTATGTGTTATTGTTAACAAGAACAAACATAATGTATTGAAATAAGCAAACTGGGGTTGCTGGTGGCATCCAGAGTTTAAAAGGTTCATAGGTAAAAGTCCTTTCTAAACACTCCAGCATTGGGTGTGTAGCAGAGGTGACTTGTTGCACTGCTCTTACAGCACTCCTATCTACCAGTCCATAGAGCGGCATTGGTGTCAGCTTTAGAAGAGGCCACTTGCTCACCTTCCTGGCCAGAGGTAAGGTGTCAGCTTAAGTAGTTGTTAATAGGGGTGAATGTGGAGAAAGTAACTGAACAAAATGACCAGCCACAATAAATGATCTCCAGTGCTGCCACCAAATGTAGAATGAGAGAATCTGCTAAAAAACATTGTGTATGTATTCTTAACTTTACAGTTTGAATTGGCGTGTGTGTGTGTGTGTGTGTGTGTGTGTGTGTGTAAAACAGAAACCCTTATAACTTTTTTTATAGATTAATAGCAAAACCAAGTGTAATTGTGGTATTTATGTACAGCAATTTAAGCGGGAGACTATACGAAGCACTGATTCTTTACATTATCATTAGGTTCCTACCAAATTCACGGTCCATTGTGGTCAATTTCATGGTTATAGGATTTTAAAAATATTAAATTTCATGATTTCCGCTATTTAAATCTGAAATTTCACGGTGTTGTAATTGTAGGGGTCCCGACCCAAAAAGGAGTTGGGGGGTGGGGGGAGAGGTGTCACAAGGTTAGTGTAGGGGGAGGTTGCAGTACTACTACCCTTTCTTCTGCGCTGCAGCTGGCAGTGGTGCTGCCTTCAGAGCTGGGCAGCTGGAGAGCAGCTGGCTGGGAGCCCAGGTCTGAAGGCAGAGCTGCCGCCAGTAGCAGCACAGAAGAAGGATAGCATGGTATGGTATTGCCACCCTTACTTCTGCGCTGCTGCGTGCAGTGCTGGGCTCTCATTCAGTAGCCGCCGCTCTCTGGCTGCCCAGCACTGAAGGCAGCGCAGAAGTAAGGGTGGCAATTCCATGACCCCCCTAAAATAACCTTGTGACCCCCCTGCAACTCCCTTTTGGGTCAGGACCCCCAATTTGAGAAACTCTGGTCTCCCCCCGTGAAATCTGGTCTTTTGTGTGCTTTTACCCTATACTATACAGATTTCACGGGGGGAGACCAGATTTCACGGTCCATGACGTGTTTTTCATGGCTGTGAGTTTGGTAGGGCCCTAATTATCATGCAAGTGAGTTTAGCATTGAGGGTGCTTATACAAACTAACTACAAAAGGGAATTTAAAGTTTGTTGCCATTCTATCCTTATGTTGTCTTATGGTCAGTGCTTGTGTATGTGTTAGCACACACCTTTCAGCCCACCGCATAGCCTGGGCTTGATCTCAGACCTCTGAATTCTTGAACATAGTGGACTGTTTCATCATCTTAGCTTTGTATGGCACCAAGCACACAGTCACAGATTACAAATAGTACTGGGGCCAGTTAAGGATAGAATGGATTTCTTTGGTTGTTTTTTTAGTTTTTTTGTTTGGGTTTTTTACAGTTTTAACCTTTACTTAAATATATTTCAGTGCATTGATGATCTGTTTTTTAATTTACTGGTATCTGTTTTGAAGTCACAGTTATCTCATTTACTCACATTTAAATACATATTGTATTACTATTTAATATTTATATTAAAATATTTATATTACAATAATGCATAGATGAGAAAATAGTATTTTTTAATATTAACCTTTGATGGACATAGTAGCAAAATCACTGGAACCTTTCCTACGCTATAGCTTCCACCATTGCTACTACCAATGAAGAATTACGGTTATGAAATTGGCTTGTTAACACAAAGCCAGAGAGCATTACTGAAAGAAAGCTGCAATAGTAAAACACATCTATAAGGAGGGACACTTGTGAAAACTGGTAGATGATGGGTGTCTTATGTTTAAGCTTTTCAACAAAGCTGGGGATGGGGAGTTTGGAGAATTCTTGTTTCTTTTCCACATTTAATCTTTTAGTTCTTCCTCTTGTTTCTGGTTCCTTTTTCTTTCTGCTCCATCTCTCCCTCTTTTTGGGATATACAAAGGACTAGAGCGTAGGCAGTTGGCCTAATGGTCACAGCTGGGCTGGTGTCCACAAGTCAAGGATGGCCAGCGAGCAGTGTAGTCAGCAAGCAGGGATCAGAGTAATTGCTAGAGGCAGGATTGATAAGTGAGAGTCAGGGTTAGGGTCAGGCTGGGTCAGAGACTGGAGATCAGCAAGCAAGGTGAGATCTGAAGTCACAGCAGGCCAGAAGTCTGTGCGGCTGTCTGGGCAATTTTCTGGGAAACCTCCAGGGTTAAATAGTGGGCATGGGCCAATCAGAAGGCCACAGGATGCTATCACTAGAGCTCCTTTAGGCTCCGCAGGAAGTACCACCCAGTCTCCACAGTACTCCTCGGACATGGCTCTCTATGGCCTCCTGCTGGCAATGTGGGAATGTCAGCTGTCCCAGGCTCTGCAAACCTGGGTTCTAGTTCCATGGATCCTCAGAGGATGTGACTCTTTAGGATGTGCCTATCAAACATTAAATACTGTGGCCAGCACTGCCCCCTCAAGAAAATGGATGCTAGGTTTTTGTGAAAAAACATTAACCAATTTCACCCAGTGCTTATTAGTATAGTGTGAGTATGTGGGGATTTTTTTATGCTTTTGTGTTGATGCTGGTTTATAGTAAGTTGGTTATGATTAGTAAATGAAGCTCGTTTGCTGAAAGCTTCACTTGTAATTTACTGTATTAGAGCAGATTAAAATAGTAGAATAAGATATTAATTCTTTGGTACAATGATGATCTGCTCTTCCTCCGACAAAGATCATCATGCTCATCAAATGGCTACTTAATTAGATTTTTGTTTGAAACTGCATTACTTTGAGATACCACAACAAAATGGATTGCTTTCAATATCTCAGATTGATTTTTAATTAGTAATGATATGTTGAGTAAACAAAGTACATTAAAATTGTGGTCTCCTCATCAAGAAAACCAAGTTTGTTTTACAATCTATATATTTATTTTAACCACAATAATACAGAGTGTAAAATCTAAAAATAATCTAAGTATTTTTTCCATTTTTTTCTTTCTGTTTTAATGAATGAGAAAGAAAATGTGTGGAAAAAGAATTTGTGACCCCTCTCATCTACTACGTATCATCAGGGTTGTGTGTGATTTTTTTGTTTTGTTTTTTTGAGAGTACAGGAAAAATTTATTTTTAAAATAAGATTGTCATGGAATGCTACAAAAATAGCAGAATCCACCTATAAAAAGATGGGCCTAAGAGGGATAGGGATAGTTTATGCTGCCACTGTCCAATCCTTTATGCATGTAGTTTTTCAGCAGACTGGAAACCCTGATCCCTTTATAGGCACTGTTTAATTGCATAGAGAGTTTGAGGGTAGATCAAAGTTGAGCTACTTTATTCTCTCTAATATATGCTATTATGTCTAAATGTATAGAAATAATTTCTAAAAGGAAGATTATAAACAATAAATATTTAATACTTAACTTTATTATTAAATTAATAGGATTTAAATACATTAATATACTCTATACTATATAATAAATATTTATGTAAACAAACTTAATGTAAGGAACAAATAGAAGGGTCTTTAAAAAAACACTTCTGGGGACACTGTTTACCTAAAACACAGTGAGCATATGTTTATAGCTGTAGTTATGAAAATGCGAACTTGCCCTTAACACTGTCAAAACATGACGGAGGAAATAAGTCATTCCTATTAGTTATACACATTGCTAGAAGTTTTGTGGGATAACCTGACCAATCCATTTCTTCCCTTAATCAGCCCTTGCATCTAGTATTATGCTTTGAAAGAATGTTACTCCTTGATATGCTCAGTAGGACTGATGAATGATGGAACTCTAGTCCCTCTTCCAGGAAGTGACTTCTGAGTTTCAGGTTCTCAAAAAAACAATGTCACCACATCCTTTCTTGAGCTGCAGGGAAATACAGTATCTCAATTGCCTTCTTTTCAACTGGTTTCTTCCTGTCTGTTACCCAAGCAGAACCTCAGACTTGCAATTCTGTCTTGGCAAAACAATGTCATCATTCAGAATGTTCTTTAATTTGTTGGTGGTATCCCCTTCACAAAGCGTTATGCCAGCTCTTTTTCTTTAATTTTGTACATATGCAGTACTGGCTAGAACGAGGCACGTTGTAAGCATTTGTTCATGTACACCTTCCTTGTCACACTGTGCACTTCTGTATATGGCCTGCGACATCTCTGCTTTCCAGTTGTAAGCAGTTTTCAGATGAAGATGGACATCCTGCAAACTATGGAATGGTTTTGTTTTGTGTAACTAATTCCCTTTTGAAGACTAGAAAAAGCTGCCAAACTCCTTTTCACCCGTGACTGGTCTCAGATACGGTTTGAACACAGGAGTCCAAAGGTGAATAGCTAGTGTAGAAATACATTGTGCTACTTAGCTTTTCCTTTATGTAACTGTTTACAAATGATCAGTCATTTCTTTATTAAGGGCCCCATGCAGCAAGGTGCTGAACCATTTAACTCCCACTGGAATGAGTAGGAGACACGGCCACTTAACAAATCTCAGGATCATGGCCTATAAAAGATGCCTTTGTGACTGTTTTTTGAAGCTTTTTTGGTTTATTTTCTATTAATTTTCCTATTAAAAGATTAATTTTAATTTCAAATGCATCTCTTCAACACTGATCTGAAGTCCCTTATTAAGTCTTTTTACAGGCAAATCTCCTATTCAAGTTCATAGGAGCTTTGCATGTGTAAGACCTGAGAAGTGACTTCAGAATCAGACCCTACTGTATGGTATGTATCTTTCTGTTTTTAAGTTTTATACCTTCATTTTAAAATAGCTGAGATGG